GACAGTTACTGGTGTTACTGGGAGTGATGGTTACTGGTGTTACTGGGAGCAACGGTTACTGGTGTTACTGGGAGTGTCAATTATTGGTGTTACTGGGAGCTGGGAGTGTCTGTTACTGGTGTTACTGGGAGTGTCGATTACTGGTGTTACTGGTGTTACTGGTGTTACTGGGAGTGACAGTTACTGGTGTTACTGGGAGTGATGGTTACTGGTGTTACTGGGAGCAACGGTTACTGGTGTTACTGGTGTTACTGGGAGTGATGGTTACTGGTGTTACTGGGAGCTGGGAGTGTCTGTTACTGGTGTTACTGGGAGTGACAGTTACTGGTGTTACTGGGAGCTGGCAGTGACGGTTACTGGTGTTACTGGGAGTGTCGATTACTGGTGTTACTGGGAGCTGGGAACAGCCACCACTGGTTATACTGGGAGCACTGGGAACTCGGTATGGGACGTGGGGGTGTTACCGGAGCCAGGCGTGTGAGGTACTGGGAGTACTGGGAGTACTGGGAGTACTGGGGCCTCAGAATGGTGGGGAAGGGTCTTACTGGGAGCTACTGGGGATACTGGGAACACTGGTACTGGGTACTGGTCATACTGGCGATACTGGGAGCTCACTCTCAGGGCAGTGTCACACGCGTGTCACCCCCACAGCACACTGTCACACGTGTGTCACACTCTCAGGACAGTGTCACACCTGTGTCACACTCTCAGGACAGTGTCACACCCGTGTCACCCCCACAGTACACTGTCACACCCGTGTCACCCCCACAGCACACTGTCACACGTGTGTCACACTCTCAGGGCAGTGTCACACGCGTGTCACCCCCACAGCACACTGTCACACGTGTGTCACACTCTCAGGACAGTGTCACACCTGTGTCACACTCTCAGGACAGTGTCACACCCGTGTCACCCCCACAGCACACTGTCACACGTGTGTCACACTCTCAGGGCAGTGTCACACGCGTGTCACCCCCACAGCACACTGTCACACGTGTGTCACACTCTCAGGACAGTGTCACACCCGTGTCACCCCCACAGTACACTGTCACACCCGTGTCACCCCCACAGGTCACTGTCACACCCGTGTCACACTCTCTGGACTGTGTCACTCACGTGTCACCTGTCTAGGACACTGTCACACCCCTTGTCATTCTCTCAAGGCACTGTCACTCCTGTGTCACACTCTCAGCACACTGCCACACCTGTGTCACCCCTGTGTCACACTCCCAGGACACTGTCACCCCTGTGTCACACTCTCAGCACACTGTCACACCTGTGTCACCCCTGTGTCACACACCCAGGACACTGTCACCCCCGTGTCACCCCTGTGTCACACTCCCAGGACACTGTCACCCCTGTGTCACACTCTCTGGACACTGTCACCCCTGTGTCACCCCCACAGGACACCTTAGGGACACCCCAGTGTCACAGGGACAACTGGGGACACCCTGGGGACACGTCAGGGACAGCTCAGGGCCACCCCAATGTCACCACACTCCCATGGGGACACCCTGGGGACACCCTGGGGACACCACAGGGACAACCCAGGGACACCCTGGGGTCACAGGGACACCACAGGGCCACCCCAGTGTCACAGGGACACCCTGGGGACACCCTAGGGACACCCCAGTGTCACAGGGCCACCTTAGGGCCACCACAGGGCCATGGTTATTGGTCACTCTGACTGTTGGTCACTCTGGTTATTGGCCGTGGGTCATGTGTGTGTGACCAGGGGTCACTCTGGCTGTGGGTCACTCTGGTTATTGGCCGTGGGTCACGTGTGTGTGACCAGGGGTCACTCTGGCTGTGGGTCACTCTGGTTATTGGCCGTGGGTCACGTGTGTGTGACCAGGGGTCACTCTGGCTGTGGGTCACTCTGGTTATTGGCCGTGGGTCACGTGTGTGTGACCAGGGGTCACTCTGGCTGTGGGTCACTGGTGACCAGGGGTCACTCTGTTGGTCACTCTGGTTGTTGGTCACTCTGGTTGTTGGTCACTGGTTATTGGTCACTCTGGCTATGGGTCACTCTAGCTGGGGGGGTCACTGATTATTGGTCAGGCTGGTTATTGGTCACTCTGACTGTTGGTCACTCTGGTTATTGGCCGTGGGTCATGTGTGTGTGACCAGGGGTCACTCTGGCTGTGGGTCACTCTGGTTATTGGCCGTGGGTCACGTGTGTGTGACCAGGGGTCACTCTGGCTGTGGGTCACTGGTGACCAGGGTGGGTCACTGTTGGTCACTCTGGTTATTGGTCACTCTGGTTGTTGGTCACTCTGGTTGTTGGTCATTCTGATTATTGGTCACTGGCTGTTGGTCACTCTGGTTGTTGGTCAGTGGTTGTGGGTCACTCTGGCCGTGGGTCACTGTTGGTCACTCTGGTTATTGGTCACTCTGGTTGTTGGTCACTCTGGTTGTTGGTCATTCTGATTATTGGTCACTGGCTGTTGGTCACTCTGGTTGTTGGTCAGTGGTTGTGGGTCACTCTGGCCGTGGGTCACTGTTGGTCACTCTGGTTATTGGTCACTCTGGTTGTTGGTCATTCTGATTATTGGTCACTGGCTGTTGGTCACTCTGGTTGTTGGTCAGTGGTTGTGGGTCACTCTGGCCGTGGGTCACTGTTGGTCACTCTGGTTATTGGTCACTCTGGTTATTGGTCACTGGCTGTTGGTCACTGGTTGTGGGTCAGTCTGGCCATGGGTCACTGACCCTGGGTCACTCTGCTGTTGGTCACTGGTTATTGGTCATTCTGGCTGTGGGTCACATGGGTGTGACCAGGGGTCACTCTGGCCCTGGGTCACTCTGGATATTGGTCAGTCTGGTTGTTGGTCACTCTGGCCATGGGTCACTCATGGCTGTGAATCACTCTGGCCATGGGTCACTCTGGCTGTTGGTCACTGGTTATTGGTCACTCTGGCTGTTGGTCACTCTGGCTGTTGGTCACTCTGGCTGTTGGTCACTCTGGCCATGGGTCACTCATGGCTGTGAATCACTCTGGCCATGGGTCACTCTGGCTGTTGGTCACTCTGGCTGTTGGTCACTCTGGC